TGTCCTCATGATCATCTGATTATTTCACAATGTAGTTTTCTATATCGGATACGATGATTCTGATATAATTCAGACCCTGAAATTATACATTTCGATCTGTTATTTAATACATATTGTCTTTGTCTATTTAACAGCAAATGGAATTTACTTTGGGACCCATGGGCCGCGAAATTTTTCCAGCAACACACATTGTCCAGATGAAGTTTTGACACACCCAAAAGTGAAGTATAAAATAAATAGATAAAACAAATTTTCAATCAAACTGATTTCTGTAGTTCAGGGGCGTCTTTTGGTAAATGTTCTGGAGGCTGTTTTAATTTATCCTATCTTATTATATATTTCTTAGCTCTTCTACATTCTGAGAAGTTGAGAGAATGAAGTCTAATGTTCTTTTTTGGTCAACTACGACGTTTGATTTCATTTTTTGCAATCATTAGTTCATTTCCTTTGAGGAGTCACAATGCCCATACCGGCTATGTCGATTTTTTTGAAATTTCGGACACAAATCTTCCAAGAATGATTATAGGCTAAAACAAAACCGTTATCTAAAGGGGGTGTGGAACCTCCCATACAAATCGAATTTTTCATAGTGCATATCTCTGGAAGTATTTACGGTAGAGTTCTGGAACTTGGTATGGATATATGTATGTATATGAAGTCAATCTCAAGCTCGTGAAAAAATATGGGTTTGTTGGAAAATGCAGCGTGCCACCGTAGAACTTGGAAAAGAGGTAAATGAAATCAATCCCAAACCTATGAAAAATGGGGGTATATGAAAACGATCTCGTAGCCAGCTACGAGAGCTAGCGGTATAAGCCATATAAACTAAAATTCTGGTGACGCATAGATACCTCTGGAAGCATTTACCTAGCATACGGAGATGAGGCATTTTTACCTTCCTCTTATTAACTCGGGATGTAACTATGTAATATTGATGCGCCTAAAAGATGCAGCGATTTCTATTCTCAAGTTACATACCTGACAGTACGAATGGCAATTATAATAGGGAGGTTTTAGTTTTTTAAACTATAATTTTTTCCAATGGAAATATGTACAGAAAAACGGGCGCGAAACCTTCTGGAAAGTAACATGATCACAGGGTGTATCCCTAGAACCATGTTAAGCTAAAACTTGAGGGATTACATTCTTGTCAAGACCGACAGGCATAAGCTGAAATTGCGTCGCAAGTTTTACGATCGGCTTGGGTAAGGTTTAACCACTTAACCCCCCTTTGTTTTCGCCGCTACTGAATTCTATAAACTGTCAGCTTTCACATAATTTAAAATGTACATGTGTATTTAAAAATGTCATGAAAATTGTGTTGCTAGCTTCATTTTGCAAAAATGTTGCAAGCTTTTTCACAGCGTGAACAGAATAGTACTTTGCTGAGGAAATGTCGAATTTCACACTTGTTTCACAGAAAGAAGTTTTGTATGCAATTTAACAGCTTTATCACGTGAAATAGGAATAAAATACATACTTTGCTTAAGAACAAAGATTTTTAAATCGACAAAAAATTAATAAGAAAATTTGAGGTATTTTAGAAATGTCACAATCTGCTTAATTGTCAGGTTGTTAATATGGCGACGGAAAAGTGACAATGGAACTACCTTGTTTTTTGTATCATGGTTTTATATCAACTTTTGTGAACTTCTGTTTATGTGTTTTTTGCAACATACCTCTATTGGTCACAATAATTTTAAGGTATAATAAACAACTTTTTAGTAAGTAATAGTTATTGGTTTTCAAATAACAAAAATTTAATAGGAGGCCCCCTAAATTTCGTTCTGGCTACGCCCATGAAGCGAGCTATGTTTTTGTGAAAAATTTAAACCAAAAATGGCACTGAAGATGGCACAACGCCGAAACCGGTTTGTCTCCAAACCAAATTTTACAAGGGATGACGGAAACTTGTTCCAAAATACATCATACACCCACCCTGTCGGAAACAACAACAACCAAAAAGGAAAAAATTTAAGCCCTTAAGCTAATCCCTCAAGATTTAAGGTCAATATACTATCTATGGAGAAACTACTCGCTAATTTTTATTATAAGTCTCTGAAGAAAATAATTTTGTTTGGAGCCAACTTTTGCATAAAATGACTAGCCCTCTAATTGAGTTTTTGGCCAAAAATGGAAAAAAGTTGAATGGGGTGTATTGTATATTGCTTGGTGTTTGATTACCATGCATGAATACTAACGTTTGGAATGATGCGCTCCTAAAGAAAAACGATCAGATTGTTCCATAGTGTTACCTAATAGCCCACATGCATATTTACTTACTTCTTCTGGTCTGGATCATTAACATAACCGTACTGGCAATGTATAGTTGTGCATTTGTAGCTACCGTGTATGTTGGTGCAGATATCGTTGCGCCCAGTGCAAAATTCGCCGGTTGCACACTCATCAATATCACGGCAGGTGGTTTTGTCCACCGACAATGTGTATCCCCGAGGGCAGGAGCACTCATAAGACCCAGGCACGTTGTTGCAATAGCCCATACAAAGCTTGTACGTTTTATGCACTTCACATTCGTCCACGTCATTGCAAGTCCGATTGTCGGCACTCAATTCAAAGCCCTGATTACATGTGCAACGATAACCGCCCCAAAAATTTACGCACTTTTGTTGGCATAGTCCTGGTATCTCTTGACATTCATCCACATCGAGGCAAATATGCTCATTGTCTTTGTTCTTCTGGAAACCGGACTTACACTCGCAGTAATATGAGCCGATTGTGTTCAGGCACTGAGAATTCGATGGGCACACGGCCGGATGCTCTTGATGGCATTCGTTTATATCCACGCAGCGGTTTATGCCGTTTCGCATACGCGACAGCTGATGACCAGGCGGACATGAGCAAATGTAACCACCGTTGCGGTTGCGACAAATCTGATTCTCGGCACATTGATGCTCGCCAGTTTCGCATTCGTCAATATCTGGGGTTTGGGAAGTGCGAACGGATAAACTAAAAAAAAACTGACACACAAAGTTGCACACATACCTATGCACTGCGTGCCGTCCGGTGTAGATTTATAGCCTGCCGAGCACTGCAATAAGTTTTGGCAGCGATATGAGCCATTTGTATTGATGCAACGTTGATGTGAACTGCATGGATTCGTCAGAATACATTCGTTGAGATCTTTGAAGAGAAAATGTAGATTCTGCGATTAGGTTAACATAGTACCTATGGCTAGAAAATATCACTGATAATATTTGTGATTGAGCCTAAAATCTTATGTGAGCACACAGTTCTGTTAGAATTTTAACCGAGACGATTCACTTTATTTGAAGCATGTTTTGTTCTGTTCAGGGACCGTAACTTTATTTGAAGCATGTTTTGATCTGTTCAGGGACCGTAACAGTTAAAACTTTTATTAAAAAAATCACTCTTTAAGAATTATTTTTGACTTTTATTTAATTACAATTAATTCTGGTTTTTACTTTATAAATCCAAAATAACAATTATGTTGATTTTCATCTAAATAATCTGCAAATAACAGTACTTTTGATTTTAAATTATATGTTTTAGATAACAGTTATTGAAGACTTTAATTTATAAAACTCAAATAAAAATCAGTCAGACACTTTTACTTTTAAAAGTCATCAATATAAAGCACTGACACTAACCACTGACTTTTATTTTTTTAAATCATAATATAACCTCAAAATTAAAAATCTACAAGAAACGACACTATTTCCACATATTTCTGGTTAAATTTATTATTAGTTTTATTAAATTCCAGTTGCAGTGCATATAAAATATTGTGTATTGACTTTAGACTATAAGCAGGTGAGTTTCAAAGACTGTCTTAACACCATGCTGCGCATTTTAAGCAAACAAGCGGTTGGGTTGAAGATAATTCACCTCAATACGCAAAGGTTGTACAAAAAGCTTAATGAGTTTAGATATATTTTTGAGGATTCCAATATTGATATTCTTTGTGTCTCCGAAACGTGGTTCACATCATATCACAGTAATGATTTGATAAAAGTGAAAGGATACCAACTGTTCAGAGCTGATAGAAGCCATGACCATGGGGTCAAAATATATGTTAAAAATTGTTTGTCTTGTATATTATGTTGTGCTTCTGGTTGTGGTGACTCTGTGGAATACGTGTTCATTAACCTCTTTTCAGGTGAGAACAAGCTCCTGGTCGCTTGTGTGTACAGACCCAATTGTGATATTAACTTCTCCAATTTCATAGAATTTCTTCAGCCGTTACTCGACAACTACAACAATGCTGTGGTAGCGGGTGATTTCAACAGCAACCTGATTGTCGGTTGCAGCTTAAAACTTGGTATGGAGTGTCTAGGACTTTTTCCTACTAACACCTACTTACCAACACATTTTATAACACCAACATCACTTTGCTTGATATATTTTTTGTGAATGACCTTAGTAAATGCCTCCACTGTAGCCAACTGTCTGCATCTAAATTTTCGAAACACGTCTTGATTTTTGATTTTCAAACAATCAGAGCACCAACATGCTTCACATACCGAGACTTCAAAAACATCAACTATACCTCCCTCACTGATGCGGTGGAGTCAGTGAGATGGAATCTGATTCGAACTCTGGTAACTATTGACGACCAAACAAAGTTTCTTCAAGAACATATGAGTAGTCCACTAGCAGTGCCCTATGTAAAATTTTTTCGATTTTTAGTTTTTGGCGGTTAACGTACCAGTATTTAAAGTAGTTTCATGTCCACTAACAATACAGTGCAAAATCCTTATATATTCTGAAAAAATATCATCAAATGTTAGCAACTCTAGCAAAAGTCGCTATAATACTTACTGTATGTATATATCCACTTTCAAAAGTCCTATAATATTTATTGTACGTATTTATACAAGTTCAAAGGTCTTTGTTTTCTGATGAACTTAGAAAACTGCAAGAAAACGTGGTAGTTTCGGTGCCTAGTGGAAGACGTCGTAAAAAAGAAGTAGACCTATTTTCATGGAAGAGAAAACGCGAAAAGCTAACAACGCTAGCTATGTAACAGTTACTGTTTCAAAAATCGCTATATTAATTTTTTATATATAAAATTCGCAAAAACTACCACACAGCGATGTTGTTTTTTAATGTTATTAGGCTCTTATTTATCCAAATATACAGATAATAAAAAAAAGATACAACTTGGATTGTAGTTGTTGTTGTAGACGTTTTTTTTTTTAAATTTATGGCTTACTATTATAAAATCACGTAACGCTGTTTGCAAGTGGACTACTCATATAAATAGGCTCTTTGATGACTTCATTCCACTCAGACGCAAAATAGAAAAATGCAACATCAGGCCTTCTAAATTAAAAAACCTTATTGCTACTCGTATTCAAACGTACGCGAGGTGGAAGCGGTACAGAACCCCTGAAGCATTAATCCGATTTAAAGCAGCTCCGCTCATTGTTAACAAAGCAATAAGGTCTGCCAAATCAAACGAGGAATAAAATAAAAGAAATTGGAATGGGAAAAGCAAAGGAAAGTTTATCTCTTCACTCCGACCTAAATTTAGACGAATTAAATAGAAACTTTGTCAGTTCACCCAGTTCTTTAGCTAATACATATCTTGATGTGCACGTGTAAATGTTAGTATCAGTCCTTTTGAGTTTGTTTTTGTGGACGACTGTGATGTCGTGCCATCTATACTATCTATTAAATCTAAGGTCGGGGGATTTGGTGGAGTTCAAGCAAATTTTCTGAAAATAATCTATATATATAAAAATAGTATGAAAAATGTTTAGTAATTCATCAATTGAGAACGGTTGGGCCCATTTGGCTAAACTTTTTTTTAGTTGTTCCTGATTGCCAGGAGAAGGTTCTTACGAAAGAAAATTTTGGGAAATCCTCCGCGAAAGTGGTGAAATTGGAAAAATCTAAAATTCATTTTTTTGTATGGAATTTTGTGTGTAAGTAATTCCTTCGGAATGGCTTTCGAATGGAAAAATTGAAAATTATAAGTGGAAAACTCGGAAAAATCCCGAAGAACGCGAAAAATTTGAATTTTTTCGACGAAATTTGCATTTTATCGCATGATTTGATGATTTTGGACGATGTAAAGGTGCAAAATTCGTTGTGAAGCTTCGAAAATTTCAGATAATTGTGAAATTCATTGTGAGCATGAATCAATTGGGAACAATTTTCTCCTATGTTTCATAACCGATTCGAATGGTTGCTGCGTTTTTGGAAAGGTGTTTAGAAGGAGTGCACAAATTTTTAATTTTTTCCGTAGGTGGCGCAGGGGTCGAGCTACGCTAAAAAGCTGTATTTAGTACGTAGGTAGCCTTTTGCTTAGATTAGCATACAGGATACATTTTTTCCGTTAAGTGGGCCAGGGATTGATCTATTCAAAAAAATCTTATTTATGGTGCCACTTGCTTGAAATTTGGCCCGTAGGTAGCTTATTGCCAGGATTAACATATAGGATACTCTTTTCTGAAAGGTGGACCTGGGACCGATCTATTCCAAAAAATCTTGTTCGATACCTGTACTATAGATATGCGTAGAATAGAATTGAGTCATTGTTTTACAGTTCGAAAGGTATTTGAAGGTGCCGCAAACATGCGGGTATTGGCTATTTAACAATACTTATTACCAGGGAACGGATTTTATGGAAATTGCCTTTTTTTCTGCTAAAGAGATAGAGTATATTCGATTAAGAATGTCCACGATTTAGCTTTCCCTGATTCCATATATACACATTTGATGTTGCCTTTTTTAAGATATTTGCCTTTTTTTTGCCTTTTTTAAGATATTTGCCTTTTTTGCCTTTTCTACCTTTAAAAAAGTGATTATAGCATTTACAAATTTTTTTTTAAGATTAAAAAATATACACAGGCCCATGCGGCTTATAGAAGCGCAGGGACCTCTTGCCAAATTGGTGTTGAAAAAATTCCAAGCCGTTTTCTCAGCTAACGTAGGCTTGAAGACAATACGGGGTGTGTATAAAATTGTAAAAGGCGAGGAAAACGCCCTTATTCCTGATAAATGAACGTTTCAAACGTTCCATATTTAAATTGGGCTCCACTTGTATCAACTTACGTCGAGCGCACATTTAGTACACTCTAGGCTTTTCTTCGCGAACATCGAATGAAAATGCTGCCAGAAAACTTCAAAATGCATCTTGTGGTTCAATGTTACTACAAGTATACAGATTAAAGTTTTATGAGTTAGAAACTCGAAAGGATAAAATAGTAAAAATTTTTCATATAATGAACCTAGTTCATAGTTTCTCTTTTTTTACTTGTAATATAAAAATTTCTAAAATAAATATATTTTTTGATTGTTCTTCGTATTTTCTGTCTTTTTTTTATTGCCTTATTTTGCTTTTTTGGCAATACCTTTGTTT